TCTCATCTCTGATAAAATAGACTTTAAAGCAACAAAGATCAAAAGAGACAAAGAAGGCCATTACATAATGGTAAAAGGATCGATACAACAAGAAGAACTAATGATCCTAAACATATATGGACCCAATACAGGAGCACCCAGATACATAAGGCAAGTTCTTAACGACTTACAAAGAGACTTAGACTCCCACACAATAATAGTGGGAGACTTTAACACTCCACTGTCAATATTAGACAGATCAACCAGACAGAAAATCAACAAGGATATCCAGGGCTTGAACTCAGACCTGGAGCAAGCAAACCTGATAGACATTTACAGAACTCTCCACCCCAAATCCACAGAATATACATTCTTCTCAGCACCACATCACACCTACTCTAAAATTGACCACATAATTGGAAGTAAAGCACTGCTCAGCAAATGCAAAACAACTGAAATCATAACAAACAGCCTCTCAGACCATAGTGCAATCAAGTTAGAACTCAGAATTCAGAAACCAACCCAGAACCGCACAGCTTCATGGAAACTGAACAACTGGCTCTTGAATGTTGACTGGATAAACAATGAAATGAAGGCAGAAATAAAGAAGCTCTTCGAAACCAATGAGAACAAAGACACAACATGCCAGAATCTCTGGGACACATTTAAAGCAGTCTCTAGAGGAAAATATATAGCAATAAGTGCCCATATGAGAAGAATGGAGAGATCCAAAATTGACACCCTATCGTCAAAATTGAAAGAGCTAGAGGAGCAAGATCAAAAAAACTCAAAACCCAGCAGAAGACAAGAAATAACTAAGATCAGAGCTGAACTGAAGGAGACTGAGACATGAAAAACCCTCCAAAAAATCAATAAATCCAAGAGGTGGTTTTTTGAAAAGATCAACAAAATAGACAGACCACTAGCCAGATTGATTAAAAAGAAAAGAGAGAACAACCAAATAGATGCAATAAAAAAATGGTAAAGGGGAAATCACCACAGATTCCACAGAAATTCAAACCATCATCAGAGAATATTACAAACAACTATGCACATAAACTAGTAAACCTGGAAGAAATGGATAAATTCCTGGACTCCTGTGTCCTCCCAAGCCTAAACCAGGAGGAAGCTGAAACTATGAATAGACCAATAACAAGGTCAGAAGTCGAGGCAGCAATTAAGAGCCTACCACACAAAAAAAGCCCAGGTCCAGACGGGTTCACAGCCGAATTCTACCAGACACACAAAGAGGAGCTGGTACCATTCCTTCTGAAACGATTCCAAATAATCCAAAAAGAAGGAATCCTTCCCAAATCATTCTATGAGACCAATATCATCCTGATACCAAAACCCGGCAGAGACCCAACAAGAAAAGAAAACTTCAGGCCAATATCCATGATGAACATAGATGCAAAAATCTTCAATAAAATATTGGCAAGCTGATTGCAACAGCAAATCAAAAAACTTATTCACCATGATCAAGTAGGATTCATCCCGGGGATGCAAGGCTGGTTCAACATACGCAAGTCTATCAACGTAATTCACCACATAAACAGAACCAAAAACAAAAACCACATGATTATCTCAATTGATGCAGAGAAGGCATTTGACAAAATTCAACAGCCCTTTATGCTAAAAACCCTCAATAAACTCGGTATTGAGGGAACGTATCTCAAAGTAATAAAAGCTATTTATGACAAACCAACAGCCAATATCATACTAAATGGGCAAAAACTGGAAGCGTTCCCTTTGAAATCCTGCACTAGACAAGGATGCCCTCTTTCACCACTCCTATTCAATATAGTACTGGAAGTTCTAGCCACAGCAATCAGGCAAGAAAAAGGAATAAAGGGTATTCAAATAGGTGGAAGCCAAATTGTCTCTATTTGCAGACGACATGATAGTATACCTAGAAGACCCCATCGCCTCAGCCCAAAACCTCCTGAAACTGATAAGCAACTTCAGCAAAGTCTCAGGATATAAAATCAATGTGCAAAAATCACAAGCATTCGTCTACACCAATAACAGACTTAAAGAAAGCCAAATCAAGAACGAACTGCCATTCACAGTTGCTACAAAAAGAATAAAATACCTTGGAATACAACTCACAAGGAACGTAAGGGACCTCTTCAAGGAAAACTACAAACCATTGCTCAACGAAATCAGAGAGGACACAAACAGATGGAGAAACATTCCATGTTCATGGTTAGGAAGAATTAATATTGTGAAAATGGCTATACTGCCCAAAGTAATTTACAGAATCAATGCTATACCCATCAAGCTACTATTGACTTTCTTCACAGAACTGGAAAAAACCACCATGAACTTCATATGGAACCAAAAGAGAGCCCGCATAGCCAAGTCAATTCTATGCAAAAAGAACACAGTGGGGGGCATCACACTACCGGATTTCAAACTATACTACAAGGCTACAGTAATCAAAACAGCATGGTACTGGTATCAAAACAGAGATATAGACCAATGGAACAGAACAGAGGCATTGGAGGCAACACAACATATCTACAACCATATAATCTTTGATAAACCTGACAAAAACAAGCAATGAGGAAAGATTCCCTGTTTAACAAATGGTGTTGGGAAAACTGGCTAGCCATGTGTAGAAAGCAGAAACTGGACCCCTTCCTGACACCTTACACCAAAATTAACTCCAGATGGATTAAAGACTTAAACATAAGACCTGGCACCATAAAAACCCTAGAGGAAAATCTAGGCAAAACCATCCAAGACATAGGAGTAGGCAAGGACTTCATGAACAAAACACCAAAAGCATTGGCAACAAAGGCCAAAATAGACAAATGGGACCTAATCAAACTCCACAGTTTCTGCACGGCAAAAGAAACAGTCACTAGAGTGAATCGGCAACCAACAGAATGGGAAAAAATTTTTGCAGTTTACCCTTATCAGCCCAGAACTTATCCAGAATTTACAAAGAACTCAAACAGATTTACAGGAAAAAAACAAACAAGCCCATTCAAAATTGGGCAAAGGATATGAACAGACACTTTATGAAAGAAGACATATATGAGGCCAACAATCATATGAAAAAATGCTCATCGTCACTGGTCATCAGAGAGATGCAAATCAAAACCACATTGAGATACCATCTCACGACAGTTAGAATGGCGATCATTAAAAAATCTGGAGACAACAGATGCTGGAGAGGATGTGGAGAAAAAGGAACACTTTTACACTGTTGGTGGGAGTGTAAATTAGTCCAACCATTGTGGAAGACAGTGTGGCGATTCCTCAAGGCCTTAGAAATAGAAATTCCATTTGACCCAGCAATCCCATTACTGGGTATATATCCAAAGGACTATAAATCGTTCTATTATAAGAACACATGCACACGAATGTTCATTGCAGCACTGTTTACAATAGCAAAGACCTGGAATCAACCCAAATGCCCATCGATGATAACTGGATTGGGAAAATGTGGCACATATACACTATGGAATATTATGCAGCAATCAGAAATGATGAGTTTGTGTCGTTTGTAGGGACATGGATGAATCTGGAGAACATCATTCTCAGCAAACTGACACAAGAACAGAAAATGAAACACCGCATATTCTCACTCATAGGCGGGTGATGAAAAATGAGAACACATGGACACAAGGAGGGGAGTACTAAACACTGGGGTCTATTGGGGGGAAAAGGGGAGGGCCAGCGGGAGGGGGAGGTGGGGAGGGATAGCCTGAGGAGAAATGCCAAATGTGGGTGAAGGGGAGAAAGGAAGCAAAACACAATGCCATGTGTGCACGTATGCAACTGTCTTGCATGTTCTGCACATGTACCCCCAAACCTAAAATGCAATAAAAAATTAAAAAAAAAAAAGAAAGCACAGGGAACTGAGAAAGAGAAATTGCATTAATTAAATTATTTGATACTTGGTAATTCTTTTTTAAAAAGATAAAACTGTTAGCTAAAACGAAGAATGCAGTAGCAACATTCAAAGTATTTCATCTGAACGGAAGCAACTTTGGTTTTCTGGTAACGAGGGTGAATGAAGGAAAGGCTATTTCAATAGCATTCTCTGTTTCTAAATAGCATCCCTGAGAAGGTTAAAGTAGTAAGATCCTAGTTAGCTAGGTTTGGATACTGAAGGGGAAGAGTTTAACTGGTTTGATTTTGTACCCATAATAGCAGACATACTTAGGAATGTTACTTGATTGTTCAGATTAAAACCTATCTCAGGAGTTCATTATTTTGGACATATATGAATTGTAGAAGAATGAGAGAGGATGGTGGTTTTAGTTTTGTGTTTTTGCTTACTAAAATTAGCCTATACATCGCACTATGACTTAGTAAGATTTTTTACATTCAACATAGTATTAAGTAATACATTAATATCCATTATTCCTGGGCTCGGCCGTTTTGTTTGCATGGGTAGTTTCCTTATACTTTGCATGTTTCCTGCCAATTAATCCCCTTGCTGAGATCCCTCAGTGAATTCTCTAATACCTTAAGTCTCGAGACCTTAGGTAAGTTCGAATTGGGTAAATTAAAATTTTATTACAATGACTTGATTTATAAATTCTAGTTCTCAAAGTTCCAAACGGGAAGCCGCCGCCAACGTAATCCATGAGGAAAAATATTAGCGGCAGCCTAAGTGAAGAGCTAGGCAGGCCGACTTGAAAGCGCGGGGAATGGGGAGGAGGTGGGCGGCGGGCAGGGGAAGCAGTCGGGGAGGCCCCCAAAGACTGCCATCGATACCCCTGTCTTTGCCCTCCTTTCCACTCCACCTTGCTCTGCGTCTCATCTTTTGGCTACTTTGGGGAGCCCGGGTTTCTCAAACCGCAAAACCGTGGGCCTGAAAAACCTGGCTCAGGCGCGCGTTGTGCGGCGGCAGCGGTGAGTGGCCGGGCTCTGGGCTCCGGGCCCGGAGGCCGGCGGCGGAGGCGCTGAGGGTGCGGGACGCAGGCGGGGCGCCAGGCCCGGGTGTCCGGCGGAGGGGGCGGTGCCCTCGGCGTCTCCGTGACTGCGCCTCTGCGCCCGCGTCTCGCCGCGGCTCCCGGGATGCGCGGAGGCGGCGGCGATGGCGATGATGCCTCCAGTCCTGCATCATCCAGAGCGGCAGGCGGAGCTGGGGTCGGGACTGCGAGATGGAGGAGGAGGGGCGGCGCTGCGGCCACCCGGCAGGTGAGAGGCCGCGGGCCCCTAGGGAAGGACAACCCCATGGTGCAGAGGACGCTCCCGGAGGCTGGCGGGTTAGCGAGGAGCGCCGCTGTGCTGAGCCAGGCCCCGCTCCACGTACCTGTCTTCCTGGAGCGGCCTGCGGGGTAGCCTTCTCGCCGGTCCCTGCCGGTTCCCAGGCTCTGCTCGGCGTGGAACCCCCGCACCCACCCACCGCCCCTATCTTGGCTGAGCCCTGCTAACCCACCAACCCTCTTCCAATTCGTTTACAAGCTTACCTGGCCCGGCCTAGGCCCTCCTTACCATCACCTTACCTTCTCCGGGAAGCCTCTACCCATCGCCAGCCCCTCGCCAGGGGTCGACCTCCCCTCTCCGCAGTTTCCCACTCTGTGAGCTCCATGTCCTCTTCATCCCTCCCATCAAATGACTCAGGTCTTCCCATCCCCTTAGCTGCTCTGGGTTCAGTGTAGTTCTGCTGCATAGAAAGAGCAAGGGCTTTGAAATCAGATTAATCTGGCTGGAAATCTTAGTGACCTTGAGGAAGTTAGCTAACCTCCCTGAGGTTTTCCTGATCAATAGAAATACAATGGGAATCAGAATCATACAGAACCTTGCTCTCTGTGAGGAGTAGGCTCTGAAAATGCTAACCTAAGACACTTTGTGCTGTTCCGGGAAAGGGCTGGAAGAATTCAGGTCATGAGTTGACTTATAAAAGCCCCTATAACATGTTTTAATGTTTACTAAAAACTTAAAACAGCACACTAGACATATCAGAGGCTCTTTCTTCACACATCTTAATGAAAAATAATTGCCACTTAAATTATACAATAAATTTTCATCCATGTTCTTTGCTTACTAGTTACTTCAGGATGTACTAGTTGTAAGAATATGCATGTGAATTCATTCTGTCTTACTGCAGCTAATATGCATGCTTAAGGCTGGTGTTCCAACTTAAAATCTCTCTGATTTTATGACTTTTATCACACCTTCTTCCATAACCTATTCACCATCCCAGAGATAGAGAGTAGCTTGTGTGTTTGCATTGCACATAACATGGGTAACCTTTATTTGATATTTAAGAGTAGCAAATCAGTATTAATTTACTCCCCCCCATCACTTTTATTTTTTGTCATCATAATGTCATTCCAAATTATGGTTACAGCTTCCTTTTTCTTAAAGTCTCAGGAGTTACTACTAAGACCTGAGTTTACTTTTTCTTCATTTCCTTGATTTCTGTTATACTAAAGTTTTTCTGCAAACCTTTTCTTCTATTCTGTCTTCTTCTTTTTCTCTCTTTTCTCTTCCCAGTCCATGATGCCTTCTTTTTTCTAATTATCTCAATAGGATTGATTTATGATCACTTTATATGTGAACTACAATGATCAAGTTTGCCAAAAAGATACATAGAAGAGTGAGAGAGAGAGTGTGTGTGTGTGTGGTGTGTATCTGTATCTACATAGATGGTATACAGATATAACTACATAGATATATTAGAATTTCGGATTCCAGGAAGTTTCAGTGGGGAAGAGATTACAATACCTATTCGTAGGATTATTGTGAGAATGAAATAAAGCCTGATAATTTATGTCAAGCCTCTAGAATAAATGCCTGGTATATAATAACCACTTAATACTTCTAACCTGGGAATGCCTCCCAAAAAGATATTTTTGCTGTTCAGTTTAGCATAGTGGTGAAGAGTGTGGAAAAGCAACTGCTTAGGTTCAAATGCATGTTCCACCACTTTAAATAATCTCTCTTTGACTTAGTTTCCTCACAGCAAAATGGAGATGTTATACAAAGTATTTCAGGGTTGTTGTTAGGACTCAAGGAGCTAATAGTGTGGAACAATGAGAACAGTATCTGGCACATCATAAGCACTTGATAAAATTAATATACTAATAGTGATGCTGATAATTATACTGTCGTTGTTATTTCCTGACCTGGAGGAAATAACAATGGCAGTATAAATTTTTTTTAATTTATTGAAGGCTAGGCACAGTGGCTGATACCCGTAGTCTCAGCACTTTGGGAGGCCAAAGCAGGCAGACTGCTTGAGCCCAGGCATTGCAGACCAGCGAGGGCAACATAGTGAGATCCCCATCTCTATTAAAAAGATATATTTTGAAAAATTTTTAATTTGTTGAAAAAAATGCAACTGTAAAAGTGAAAGTTGCCTCTCCTACCCCAAATCACCATTTTTCTTCCTGCCTCCTACTCTTAACTAGTGTTAGTGCTTCAGCATCTCATTCTTCTCTTGAAATCAATTCCTTTTTCCAAATATCTCCTAGCCTGAGGTCTTCATAACTTCCATCATCCCACTTCATTGTTATCTAGTTACTTTTCATTTCTCTTAGCATCCTAATTCCAGACTCTTCATTCTTCTAATTTCCCCAGACCAAATTCCTGCATCCCTTTTCACCGGTCTTCATTTCTCTACTTCCAAAGAGGAAACTCTTGGAGATAAGGGGGTTAGAGACACCAGCTTCACCTCCCTGCTCTTTCTGCCTCCTCAAATTGGGGTTTTTCTTCTATTTCTCTTTTCATAAATTAGCTCCAGTCCTCCAGTTAGCCATTAAGAAAAAGCAGTAAAAAGTTGTCTTTCTCACTTTATAGGTATCAGAAGTGTTCAGAAACAAGTATATAGTCTTTAAGTGAAAATAGAGCTATTTGGTACTATTTTTTTAAAAAATTCTAACCATCAAGAAACAAAAGTTCAGAATTTTCTTCTCTTATGGAACTTTTTAAAAGGAAAGTATAGAAAAGTTGGTCTCACTTTCCAATGGACAGATTTACCATATCGTCATGATCTGTAACATGAATATTAAGAATATAGATGAAGTTATCTTCTTCCTTGATGAAGGACACAAGTCGATTATATGGACTTCCCAGGACTGGTTTATGTCTGATAGGCACTGGTATGTCTGTACCTGTTGTTAAATGTGGAGAGACTGTATTAGGTAGTTCATAGCTGCTGCTTGGAGCCCCTGGTAATCTCTGACTGACCTGATTAATTCCTCTGTACCACCTTGATCCAGCAATGAAGGGGTTAACAGCTGGAGGCTTCTGGGATCCAGCTTGAGCTGGTGGTTAAGTATGCTGAACAGCAGCCCTAGACCTCTGCAGTGCCATTGATTATTCCTAAAATTCTACATTAAGGCAAATGCTTTTTGGTTTTCAAGAACATAGCGCTGTCTCCAAGGAACAGCTTAGTCTGTCCCAACAGAAGCATTTGTTGGAGCAGGTGGGGCATCAACCCATGCAGGACTTTGGGATTTGGGACAATGTAGATTTGTGTGAGTGCACATTAAGTCTCATTGTAAAATAGAAAAAGAAAAGTGAAGAAAGGAAAGAGGAGCAGTAAGTTATTCTTTTAAAGCAGAGACTGTGCCTTACTCATCCTAGCACCTAGCATAATGCTGGCATATGGTATACACATAATTAATGTAAATTGAGTGAATAAATGCAGGAATGGGGTGCATGCCTCCTGCTTCACAGTCAGGATATTCTTGTTGGGATAATGGTAACTCACATTTATATAGCAGTTTAGACTTTACAAAGTGATGCTTTGCACCTTGTAAACGTCTAGTATAATTCTAACATCCTTGGTTACTTCCAATTTTCCCTCTCACATGTAGTCCTACACAGGTTTTCTTTTTTCCAAAGGAGAATATGCAATTAATTGGCCAGGAAATTGCAACCTGGGGGAAAAAATATAAATATTGGGAAATAAAGGATTCTTTCTAGGGAAGGAAACAGAATTTGTTAGTGATTTATGGGAATTATGTGAAGGGTCACATTATGCATCAATAATACCCTCCAGCTTATATTTCAAGCACATGCAGTTTTTTGCCTGAGTCCCTCTGCTGCATAGACCTACCCCCCAACCCCCCACCACCTTCTCCACCTCCCTTCATCCTTTCCCACCTCCCTTCCTAAATTGGATTAGGTTCCCCCCTTCCATGCTCTCATAGCACCCTGAAACCTTATTAGGCTATAATTACATAGTTAGATTGATCTCCAACTAGATTATGATCTCTTTGGTGGAGAGGTATGTTCTTTTATTATCAGCAGCGCCTGAGACAGAAGTGTTTCTAAAAGCAACATCTGCACACCTGTCAGACAGAATCACAAGGGGTGAGGCCAAGGAATCTGCTCTCCAGGTGATAAACTTTTTAGCATGCTCTCCAGGTGACACTTAAACTCATTTGAAAACCTCTGTTTCATAAAATGAAATATTAGCTGAATGAATGTATTTGTTTCTGTCTTTTTTGTGTTGAGCTTTGTGAGGAGAAATGCTTTCTATGCACCAAGTCAGAGCTGAAAAATTCTAGTGCTTTTGTTAAAAAAAAAAAAAAAAGAGAGAGAGAGAGAGAGCAGGCGAGCTAGGTTTGGTGGTGCATGGCTGTAGTCCCAGCTACTTGTGAAGCTAAGGCAGGAGGATTGCTTGAAGACAGGAGTTCAAGTCCAGCCTGGGCAACATGGCAAGACCCCATCACTAATAAATGAATAAATTTTTCTCTCAAGGTGACAGATACTAGTACTACTACTAATAATAATAATGAGATCACTGTATGAATTCCTTTCTGTTTCTACAGTAATCCTTTTCTGTTTCTGGGTATGCATTTTTGTGTGCAGGCTTATCTGCCTTGGACCACTTTTGTCACATATTGTTCATCTGTGAGTTGAGGCCCTGACTCCTTTCTCACCGAGTATTTTTGGGGAGCAGAAGGAGGAGACATTTCTCTCTGAAGATGAACTCAACAGACCACCTTCAGGATGCCCCCAATGCCACCTCGCTCCATGTGCCTCACTTGCAGGAAGGAAACAGCACCTCTCTGCAGGAGGGTCTTCAGGATCTCATCCACACAGCCACCTTGGTGACCTGTACTTTTCTACTCACGGTCATCTTCTGCCTGGGTTCCTACGGCAACTTCATTGTCTTCTTGTCCTTCTTCGATCCAGCCTTCAGGAAATTCAGAACCAACTTTGATTTCATGATCCTGAACCTGTCCTTCTGTGACCTCTTCATTTGTGGAGTGACGGCCCCCATGTTCACCTTCGTGTTATTCTTCAGCTCAGCCAGTAGCATCCCAGATGCTTTCTGCTTCACTTTCCATCTCACCAGTTCAGGCTTCATCATCATGTCCCTGAAGACAGTGGCAGTGATTGCCCTGCACCGGCTCCGGATGGTGTTGGGGAAGCAGCCGAATCGCACGGCCTCCTTTGCCTGCACCTTACTCCTCACCCTGCTTCTCTGGGCCACCAGTTTCACCCTTGCCACCTTGGCTACCTTGAAAACCAGCAAGTCTCACCTCTGTCTTCCCATGGCCAGTCTGATTGCTGGAAAAGGGAAAGCCATTTTGTCTCTCTATGTGGTCGACTTCACCTTCTGTGTGGCTGTGGTCTCTGTCTCTTACATCATGATTGCCCAGACCCTGCGAAAGAACGCTCAAGTCAGAAAGTGCCCCCCTGTAATCACAGTCGATGCTTCCAGACCACAGCCTTTCATGGGGGTCCCCGTGCAGGGAGGTGGAGACCCCATCCAGTGTGCCATGCCGGCTCTGTATAGGAACCAGAATTACAACAAACTGCAGCACGTTCAGACCCGTGGATATACCAAGAGTCCCAACCAGCTGGTCACCCCTGCAGCCAGCCGACTCCAGCTGGTATCAGCCATCAACCTCTCCACTGCCAAGGATTCCAAAGCCGTGGTCACCTGTGTGATCATCGTGCTGTCAGTCCTGGTGTGCTGTCTTCCACTGGGGATTTCCCTGGTACAGGTGGTTCTGTCCAGTAATGGGAGCTTCATTCTTTACCAGTTTGAATTGTTTGGATTTACCCTTATATTTTTCAAGTCAGGATTAAACCCTTTTATATATTCTCGGAACAGTGCAGGGCTGAGAAGGAAAGTGCTCTGGTGCCTCCAATACATAGGCCTGGGTGTTTTCTGCTGCAAACAAAAGACTCGACTTCGAGCCATGGGAAAAGGGAACCTCGAAGTCAACAGAAACAAATCCTCCCATCATGAAACAAACTCTGCCTACATGTTATCTCCAAAGCCACAGAAGAAATTTGTGGACCAGGCCTGTGGCCCAAGTCATTCAAAGGAAAGTGTGGTGAGTCCCAAGATCTCTGCTGGACATCAGCACTGTGGTCAAAGCAGCTCAACCCCCATCAACACGCGGATTGAACCTTACTACAGCATATATAATAGCAGCCCTTCCCAGGAGGAGAGCAGCCCATGTAACTTACAGCCAGTAAACTCTTTTGGATTTGCCAGTTCCTATATTGCCATGCATTACCACACCACTAATGACTTAATGCAGGAATATGACAGCACTTCTGCCAAGCAGATTCCAGTCCCCTCCGTTTAAAGTCACAGAGGCTATAGGATCTTATGTAGACAGTCTTTGTTTCTGATACTAACTGACTTTATTCTAACTTTGAGATCAATGGCAGATCGAAACTTAAAAGATTCAACTGAAAAGCTGGCAGTTATGATTTTCTTTCGTTCAATGTGTCCGTATCTGTTGATTTGCTTTGTAGTTTATTGACATCTTAAGATTTGATGTGAAAGTTTTAGATTTTTACCCTGAGCTTTGCCTCAGTCTTTTGTACCTAACCTTTAAATAGATGCCAGGAATGAAGCTACGGTGTTAAAAGTCAACTGATTATCATGATGTGAGTCAATGTTATGTGTCTTCAAAATAAGATATTGGCTGGATCTTTTTTAAAGAATGTGACAGTAGGATTTTTGCTGAGATGTTATTTTTATTAACTGAATTGTAGATTTTGATTTTTTTGAAGTGTCGAAATAGGGAACACTACACCTTTTTGGTAGCAGGTTGATTTGAATAAATAATATATTGTTAGCTGGGTGCAGTGGTGTGCAGCTGTCATCCCAGTTACTTGGGAGGCTGAGGCAGGAGGATCGCTTGAGCCCAGAATTATAAGTCCAGCCTGGGCAATGCAGCAAGACCCTGTCTCTAAAAGAAATTTATATATTCTTAAAGCAGAAAAGGAAATAACTCTGTCTTTAACAGAAACACTCACACAGGCATTAGGTAGTTTTCTTTCATAGGACAGTCAACTGAGAATATAGTATTATGATTATTGCCATTTCTTATAGACATATTTTATGTCACTTGAGTAGGTTTTCAGTTTTGGTTGTTTTTTTTTTTTTTTTTTTTTTTTTTATAAAGACGGGGTGTCACCATACTGGTCAGGCTGGTCTTGAACTCCCGACCTCAGGTGATCCGCCCACCTTGGCCTCCAAAGTGCTTGGATTACAGGCATGAGCCACCATGCCCGGCCGGTTTTCAGTTCTTTTGAAAAGAACTGTATTTTGCTTGTATAAAAGTGAATTATTTCGAGCCGGGTGCGGTGGCTCACGCCTGTAATCCCAGCACTTTGGGAGGCCGAGGCGGGTGGATCACAAGGTCAAGAGATCGAGTCCATCCTGGTCAACATGGTGAAACCCCATCTCTACTAAAAATACAAAAAATTAGCTGGGCATGGTAGCACATGCCTGTAGTCCCAGCTACTCAGGAGGCTGAGGCAGGAGAATTGCCTGAACCCAGAAGGCGGAGGCTGTGGTGAGCCGAGATCGTGCCATTGCACTCCAGCCTGGTTAACAAGAGTGAAACTCCCTCTCAAAAAAAAAAAATGAATTATTTCTTGTTTCTTTTGAGATGGAGTCTCGCTCTGCCACCCAGGCTGGAGTGCAGTGGTACGATATCTGCTCACTGCAAACTCCACCTCCCACACTCAAGCGATTCTCCTTCCTTAGGCTCCCAAGTAGGTGGGATTATAGGTGCCCGCCACCATGCCCAGCTCATTTTTGTATTTTTAGTAGAGACAGGGTTTCATCATGTTGGCCAGGGTGGTCTTGAACTCCTGACCTCAGGTAATCTGCCTGCCTTGGTCTCCCAAAGTGCTGAGATTACAGGTGTGAGCCACCCCACCTAACCCAAAAGTGAATTGTTTCTGAATGCTCTTATTCAAGAAGCCTACTGGAGTACTGCATCTGTGGTAGAGATACACTGTTCCTGGGAGAGTAGCACTGCTGTAATCATCTTAGTTAGTGTTCTGTGGAAAACAACGTGGACTCCTGTCACTCATCGGGCAATATTTACTATTGCTTAACAAGGTGTAGAGATGGGATTGGAAGTGTTTTGATTTATGTTTTCCTTCTGTGTGAGAAGAGTTTACTAACCACCTGACAGTATTCAAGTAACTATTTTAAAATGACTTCATTTTTTGTCTTTATATATTACTATGGTAGAAAAATTCTCAAGATAATCTATTTTCAGACTAATTGTTTTATTCCTCTCCCATTAATCTTAAACTGGAGATCGACAGAAAGAAAAAATAGATTAAGTATTTCTATACCTGAAACTAATTTTATTATATGCTCTGCAATTCCTAGCATAACAACTGTGAACTCATATTTTTATGTAAAAATATTTTCATTATACAGTTAATATTTGAACTCACTAGGTTTTTAAATGTTAGACATACAAGATGAGCATCAAAATACAACACTTATCTTTATAAATTGTCATATTCAAAAATTATTATAGATTGGAAGGTACTTTGTTTCTTTGAATGAAAGGCTTTTTTTTCTTTCTTTCTTTTTTTTTTTTTTTTGTAGAGACAAAGTCTCACTCTGTCACCCAGGCTAGAGTGCAGTGGCATGATCTCAGCTCACTGCAACCTCCACCTCCTGGGTTCAAGCAATCCTCCTGCCTCAGCCTTCTGAGTAGCTGGGATTACAGGTATGCACCACCACACCTGGCTAATTTTTGTATTTTTAGTAGAGATGGGGTTTCACCATGTTAGCCAGGCTGGTCTCAAATTCCTGACCTCATAATCCACACACCTTGGCCTCCCAAAGTGCTGGGATTACAGGCATGAGCCACCACACCTGGCCTATTATCTCTTTTTAACAAAGAAGAAATCTAATATTCTCTCCCAAGATCACACAAAGAATTATGGCAAATTAGGAATTAGGTTTTTGTCTTAATTCGAAACCTGAAATTTACTCCAGTATGCCCAAACTGCTTTATAATGAATACAACATTAATCAAGAGTCACATTTTTATTTTTATTTATTTTCTTTTTCTAGGTCAGTGCAAAAGTAGTGAATCACATTTTTAAAGGCATATATCTATTTTTCTGGCTAGGCATTTCAAATGTGATTTAATAAAAGGTTAACACAAAAGTAATTTCTGCTTATAAAATTTAAAGTGGCAGATTTTCTGTGTGACATTTGAGTTTGAGATGATTTGGCATGAGGGCCAGCACCGGTAGGTAAAAATTATAGCACAAAGAAAACTAAGCAGGTGCATATGAGGTATTGTCTCTTTATGCTCATCAAATAATTCTCTCCAAAAGTTTTAAAAAAAGAAATTATTGTTATAAATTGCATGAAATATATAGTGGGCTAGATTCGTAGCCCCCCTCCATATCTATATCTCTATACATAGATATAGAGATATAGACATAACTTGTTTCTTCATAAGTTACATATGTCTGCCTCTGTGTCATCATAATAAAGATGTCATGATGATACAGGTAGAGGTAGACATATAAAACTTATCTCTTCATAAGGGCTAAAATGAGAACTAAAAGTAATGAGAATTCAGTTGAGTATGATTAATTAGCAGGACATGTTAATTAGTTCTCTTGATGCTTTACTGTGATGCAAAGTTTGTGATGTATTTTAAACATTTTATAATAATTGTTCTTATGTTAACCATTAGGCAAGATTTGTATTTCTAATGCTTTTAATGTTCTTTTAAAATAATGTTTGGAAAATAAAAATAACTGAAAATCTTAACATTTCTGAACACCAGTTTGCAATATAATAACTTTCCCTTCTAATCATTTTTAAACGATCAGAGCATGGCAATGATCATTTTCTCACAATGAATAACAATGTGTTGAAGCACACACGGAGAGCTCTTTCCTTTAAGAGATGAAATAACTTGTTTGACTACATATAATTCTTTTTTTGTTTTTTTTTTTTTTTGTAGATACGGGGTCTCTCTATGTTGCCCAGATTGGTCTCCACCTCCTGGGCTCAAGCGATCCTCCAACCTCAGCCCTCAAAGTGCTGGGATTACAGGAGGGAGCCACTTCCCCGTGTTTGACTACATTTTGTATCATATATGCTCAGACTAACCAAGGATAGTTAATGCCAAAGACTATTTACACAACTAAGTTTCTTACTTAGTGAAAAGAGGCTAAATGAACATTTCAACAGCTTATTTAAATGAGATTGACTTGGAAAAATAAAATTTTTGAATTTTAGTTTTTCGATCAGGGTTTGGATTTAAGAATCAGAAAACATTAACATAAGCAGAAACGGGTTTAATATAGGAAACTAGATGTCTACAGAATTATTAGATAGGGCTCTATGATGAGTCTCCAGGAAAGATTCTACCAAAAACATGACTAGCCTGACCAGCCAGAAATGCTACTACCTTTGCTCCAGCCAAGAAGAGAGGAAGTCAGGAGGCCTGCCTTGGCCTTTTGACTTCAAGAACACACTGTTGAAGTTGTTATCCAGCAATGAGAAAGTTGCTGCCACCACTATTTCCATAAAACACTCCCTTGATACCTTCAAAACAAGTGGCTGAACAACAAGACCCTGCTGTAGAAAAACTCTGGCACCATTCAGTTAGGTGGAGAAACTAAGTTTGCATCTAGAAGCCTAGCTTCAGGGGAGTCTGGAAAGTGTAGTAACACAAAAGTATACTCAAAGGAGATGCAGAGCTTTAATCTGTTCTGTCCACAGTGGTTCACCTTGGTAGTCAACATTTTTTTTTTTTTTTGAGATGGAGTCTTACTCTGTTGCCCAGATTGGAGTACAGTGACACAATCTCTGCTCACTGCAACCTTCACCTCCCAGGTTCAAGCAATTCTCCTGCCTCAACCTCCCAAGTAGCTGGGATTATAGGCATGTGCCACCACGCCCAGCTAATTTTTGTATTTTTAGTAGTAGAGACATGGTTTCACCATGGTGGCCAGACCGGTCTTGAACTTCTGACCTCAAGTAATCCATCTGCCTCGGCCTCCTAAAGTGCTGGGATTACAGGCGTGAGCAACCTCACCACCAGCCCCTCGTAGACAACATTTTTTATACATACCCCTAGCCATACTTCCAAACAACAGCAGTAGCCATACCACCATTCTCCCTCTTGAAATAATGCAGCTTCTTTCATTTAAACAAAAACGTGTACTTTGCTAGGCACTGTCACTCACTCCTGTAATCTCAGCACTTTGGGAGGCTGAAGTGGGAGGATCACTTGAGCCCAGGAGTTTGAGACCCTCCTGGGCGACATGACAAAACCACGTTTCTACAGAAAAATTACCTGGGCATGGTGACATGTACCTGTAGTGCCAGCTACTTGGGAGGGAAACGGGGGTAGGATCCCCTGAGTGAGTCCAGGAGGTCTAGGCTGCCATGAGCAGAGATCACACGACTGCACTCCAGCCTGCAGAGTGAGATCCTCTCTCAAAACAAAACAAAAAATGCATACTCTACTCCAGAGGGAAGATGCAAAGTCTGATCAATCTCAGGGTTTCTCAGTGATGTTCATTATTCTTCTAGTTCAGTCAAAAATCTCAATGTGATGTTCTGTAACTTGAGGACTAAATTATAAAATTTACCACCAACAAACACATTTAATCCTCCAGGAAAAACAGAGTAAAAAGAAAAAATTGGTTTAAACGTTTCATAGACACACAAACACACACACATACACACACCAGGATAAAGAAGAAATAGGGATTAATACAGACTTTGCTTGCTTCTATTGATTGGGAAGCTGTGGTTGGTAATTTATAATGTCCTCCACTTTCCATTTCCTATCCCTTTGCCATTAGCTAGCATATCATATCGTCTGAGAAAATAAGTTTTATCAAATAGCAGAGGGAATGAAATATTAAGACAACAAAATTTATAAAACATAAAGTAGGGGCTGGGCGCGGTGGCTCAAGCCTGTAATCCCAGCACTTTGGGAGGCCGAGGAGGGTGGATCACGAGGTCAACAGATCGAGACCATCCTGGTCAACAAGGTGAAACCTCATCTCTACTAAAAATACAAAAAATTAGCTGGGCATGGTGGCGAGTGCCTGTAATCCCAGCTACTCAGGAGGCTGAGGCAGGAGAATTGCCTGAACCCAGGAGGTGGAGGTTGCGGTGAGCCGAGATCGCGCCATTGCACTCCAGCCTGGGTAACAAGAGCAAAACTCCGTCTCAAAAAAAAAAACAAAAACAAAATCCAAAAAACATAAAGTAGGATTACAGAAATAACTGGATGAATGGAAATGTTTAATATTATTTATAAAAGATAAATCTTTGAATTAAAAGCAACATGAAGGCTGAGCATGGTGGCTCACATCTATAATCCCAGCACTTTGGGAGGCCAAGGCGGGTGGAACATTTGAGGTCAGGAATTCGAAACCAGTCTGGCCAACATGGTGAAACCCCGTCTCTACCACAAATACAAAAATTAGCTGGACATGGTAGCAGGTGCCTGTAATCCCAGCTACTCGGGAAACTAAGGCAGAAGAATTGCTTGAACCTGGGAGGCAGAGGTTGCAGTGAGCCAAGATCATGCCACTGCCCTCCAGCCTGGGTAACAAGAGTGAGACTCCATCGCAATAAATAAATAAAAACAACATGAAAAATATGCAAATTTTGCTGCTTGGAATCCAGAAACACAAAATAAACTGAGAGTAAAAATTAAGATACAGGCAAAAGTAGGCAAGACTTCATGAACAAAAAATGATGGTGACAATATTAATATCAGAGTAGAACTGAAAGAAAAATCACATTTTAGAAGATAACTAATATTGACAAGAGGAACAACCAAATAATAAAGCAGTAAGTTTCATTCATTCAACAGATACTTGTTGAATCCTATGTACCAGCTTGAGATACATTTGGTGAACAGAATGAAGTATCTACTCCCATAACACATTATACTGAAGATGATAAATATGTAATTTTCAAGCACAGTAACCCCTTTCAAGCACAGGATCCCACAGGAATCCATGGGGGATATGTCCCAAGACCCCCAGTGGATATCTGAAACCTGGGATAGTGCCAGATCCGATACATACCATGCTTTTTCCTATACACATATACCTGTGATAAAGCCTGACCAACATGGTGAAACCCGGTCTCTACTGAAAAACATAAAAATTAGCCAGGTGTGGTGGTGCATACATGTAATCTCAGCTACTTGGGAGGTTGAGGCAGGAGAATTGCTTGAACCTGGGAGGCAGATGTTGCAGTGAGCTGAGAGCGCACCATTGCATTCCAGCCTGGGCAACAGAGTGAGACTCCGTCTCAAAAAAAAAAAATTATCTAACAAATGTTTTGGGGTTATCATGTAGATAAAAAATGTTATCTACTTGACAGAGAAAACCGTTTTGTAAATTTTTTTTTAATGTCACCTACAAATAATGATGTTTTGTTTTTTGTTTTTTGGGTTTTTGTTTTTGTTTTTGAGACAGAGTCTTGCTTGGTTGCCCAGGCTGGAGTGCAGTGGTGCAATCTCGGCTCCCTACAACCTAATCCTCATGTGATTCTTCCATCTCAGCCTCCCGAGTATGCTAGGACTACAGGCAGGCACCTCCACACCCTGCTAATTTTTCTATTTTTTTAGAGACGGGGTTTCACCACATTGCCTAGATTGGTCTCTAACTCCTGAACTCAAAGGATTCACCCACCTTGGCATCCCAGTGTTGGGATTACAGGTGTGAGGCACTGCATTTCACAGTAATGGTTTTGTTTCTTCCATTCTAAACCTTACACCTTCTTTTTTTCTTGTCTTACATGGCTAGCTAGAAATTTAGTACAATGTTGAATACAAGTGTTGATAGTAGGCATCCATTCTGCTTATGGATTTGAAATTTAATCAACATGGACAGTGTTGTAGGTTTTTGTTAGATACCTTTTATCAGGTTAAGAAGGTGGCTCACACCTGTAATCCAAGCACTTTGGAGGCCAAGGAGGGTGGATCACCTGAGGTTGGGAGTTTAAGATCAGCCTGACCAAGGTGGTGAAACCCCTTCTTAAAAAATTTTAAAAAATTATATATATATATATATGTATATGTATGTGAAGGTTCTCTTCTGTTTCTAGTTTAGTAAGAGTTTTTTTTTAATAGAAGAGGGTTCAATTTTATTGAGTGATTTTTCTGAATCTTTTGAGATGATCATTTGATTTTTCTCATTTTGGCCCTGATGGTTTTTTTTTTTTTTAAAAAAAAACTACTAGATTAAGGCCGGGCATGGTGGCTCATGCCTGTAATCCCAGCGTTTTGGGATGCTGAAGTGGGAACATGGTTTGAGTCCAAGTTTGTGGCACCCCCTTAAAAAAAAAAGCCAGGCATAGTGGCACACATACATAGTCCTAGCTGCTCAGGAGGCTGGCATGGGAGGGTTGCTGAGCCCCAGAGGTCAAGGCTGCAGTGAGCTGTGATTGCACTACAGCACTCTAGCTTGAGTGACAAAGCGAGACCCTGTCTCAAAAAAACACAAAAACTAATAGATCAATTTACTGATATTATAAGATATTTGCATCTGTTCATAGTGAAGTAACCCTCCAATTTTCACTTCTTGTAATTCTCTGGTCTGTTTACCTGGTTCCATAAAATGGTAATGTTATTTCCTTTTCTATGTTATGGACTAGTTTGTTTAAAATCGGAATTATTTTTCCCTTTAATGTTTGATAGAACTCTCCTGTGAAAAAATCTGTGCTGCTGTTTGCTTTGGAGGAACATTTTATCTCTTGATTTCATTACTATAATAGTTGTACAATTT